ATCAGTTATAGCTGCAGCTATTCTAAAACATTTGATCATTCACAAACCAGGAACAATGACCAGTGTACGTTGCCACATATCACTCACATTTCTTCAACTACTAAACTACTACTATTACTACAACTACTACTACGACTACTAAACATGCATTGATACTGTCAGTGGGGTGGCCTCTTCACAGATCTGGCCTGTATTTGGCCTGGTTGTCTCCATGCAGGTGCAAGCCAGTGCAAAGCTATACTGTGGAACATTCCAATGAAAGCAATATATAATTTGCATTACACACATTTTACTCTTGAAAGCTTCAAGTCATGTTATAATGTTGTTACTTCCTCAAAAACATACCTGGAGTTGTGTTTTGTTTCATTCATATGTTTGAGTAACCTTTTGTTTTTAGCCTGTCTTGTGTCCTTGTGATGTCATGAAGCAGTAGTTTTCAAGTGAACAGCACCTTTTACCTTTTGTTCAGTGGAGATTGGCAATTCCAGGGCTGAAATTGTCCACATGATTCTAGCGAAAGTGTATACAGTTTTAAAACACAGTAGAGCACTTCCTGTATTACCACATGACATTACTCAGACATGTGTGAATGAAACAAAACACAGCTCCTGGTATCTTTTTGATGAGGAAATAACATTCTAATATGACTTAAAGCTCAGAAGAGAAAAGTTTGTCTAATATAGGACTTTAAACGATACATTTCAATACTTTTTACTTCTTCCTTAAAGGCGTTCTGAATCTAAACTTTTATCTCCTTTGCCAGTCTCAGCATGCTTATTTAAAATGGCCCTCTTCACTCTCTCTCTCTGTAGACTTTGATGCGCGGTCTGTTCCTGTAAATCCACTGATCACTATCGTCCCCCTGGAGACTTCTCAGGCGCTGGTGACGCTCACATAAGCTCCTGGATCATAGCAGAGCCCCCCGTGTCCCCCCATCACCCTGTCCAAGAGAGAGAGAAAGAGAGAGAGATAGGAGGAGAGAGAGGGAGATGGAGACAGAGAATGAGAAAGAGGAAAAAGAAAGAAAGAGAGAGAGAAAAAAAGAGAGAAAGAGACGTATAGGTCATTCTCATTACATTGTGGGACCTGTGTCTAATCTTGCTCTTATACATGTAGGCTTTATATATCGCGCCGGTGAAACAAGGGTGTAGATTCGTTTAGAGCCATCTATCTGTCTCCATGGAGATGTTATTGCTTTACTGGAATGTTCCACAGTAATCATTAAAGGTCCTATGTTACGTAAAATTGACTCTTGTGAGCTTTAAGCCATGTTAGAATGCTGTTACCGCCTCAAAAACATACCTGGAGTTGTGTTTTGTTTCATTCACACATGTTTGCCGATGTAGACAGACTAATAATGAAGGGTTATTCAAAGTTCAGATTGCTCTCTTCCACCCTGTGATGTCATGTAGTGGCAGTTTCCAAGTTAACAACTGCCTTTTATCTTTAGATCAATAGAGATTGGATGATTTCAGCTCTGGAATTGCCAAATGATTCTAGTAAAAGTGTCAGGAGTTTAAAAACACAGTGGAGTGCTTCCTTTACCACGTGACATCACAAGTTGGAACAGCCTAAATATTTAGAGTTTGTGTTAAATGTGTGAATGAAACAAAACACAACTCCAGGTATGTTTTTTTTTTTTTTTTTTTATGAGTTAACATTACAAACATGGCTTAAAGCTCACAATACCCAGTTTTGCATAATGTATGACCTTTAAAGGGACAGTCTGGAATTTTGGACATAGGGCCTCATTTCCTAGTGAGCCAGAGTGTTGGAGACGTGTGGAGACACTTTTTAAAATTTTCCATTCAGTCCTTGTATTTGCAGAGGTCGCTGGTGCTAGGCTAGTGCATGTCAATGGCCATAGTTATCCTGCCACTAAAAACAGTCTTACCCACTCCACAAAACACCCGAAGCAAATCTATGTTTATGCCAGACTGTTGTTGTGAATGTAAATTTGAAATAAAACTAACCTTACATTGCATAAATTGTTGCACGTTGAGGGACTATTTTCTCAGCAGCAGCCAAATTTTACCTTGCTGGTAAGATAGGTGCTAGGTGATATCACTCCACCGCTGCCAAGCTTTCTATCGGGAAGTACAACTCGCTGCTGCTCACACATAAATCCTTCAAATACAAGGTTTAAAATTAGTCTATCAACACAGACATTTACATTGACAGTTTGGCATAATAATAGATTTGCTTCGGGTGTTTTGTTGAGTGGGTAAGGCTAAGTATGGCCATTGACATGCGCTAGCCTAGCATCAGCAGGGACTGGATGGAATATTTAAAAAAGTGTCTCCAACACTCTGGCTCACTAGGAAATGATGTCCAATGTGCTGAATACCAGACTGCCCCTTTAAATTGCTATGGCAGTGCTACTAACCTTTTATCATTCTGAAACCCACGCATAGGAATAGCTACCAACATATATGACAGCAAGTGAGTAATGAATAAAGCATGAAATAGACTTTGAGCATCTAAAAAAAGCAATATATATACACTGTACATATAAGACTGATGCTTCGCTGTGTTTATTTAGCTCAGTCGTCGACACATATCTTGTACTTTGCGCTGTACTGTGCTGTAGGTACCTCAATGAGAAAAGAAGGACCCTTATCTCCAATGATGAATTTACTGTGGGAAAATCAATGGGGCCAGATGCATTGAAGGTGTATGGGAGGAGAAGGCCCAGCAAATGAAATGGTATAGCAAGTAATTGTACAGTGTTATTGGATTGAGGATTCCCCCAGGAGGGCCATGGGGGAGGGGGGGGGGCTGTAATAGAACTATAGTGACTTATATTGGCTTGGCAGTCGATTAGCTCCTTTCTATTGACTCGGGTTATATTTAAATAGACTGGGGCTTGCAGAGAGTGAGTGAACAGGGAAAGAAGAAGGACAAATAAGCAGATTGCATTGACTCGGTGTGGACCTCATCTACCTTGTTCCGCACGGATTAAAACAAAAGAAAGATATCAACAAACACCACAAAGCTGCTACTTATAAGCAGCCGTTAATGTGCGCCGCAAGTTGTATTAAAAGTGGAAATGGCTACTTGGAGATAAGGAAACAGTCTAATTGAATTTTAGCAAGTTAATCTTTTAAGGATTTCGGTTACGCTTCATTTGTCAAGTCTTGATGTTTACTGCTGTTGTTTTTAAGTACAAACATTTGCAAAAAATGTGGAAAAATAAGATAAAATGATCGATTAATGATCATTTCTACTGAACATTATCACGCAAATAAAGGTTGACTGAAGGCTTCCAGATAGGAAGAAAGAAAGGTCCCATAGTACACAAAATGGACTCTTGTGAGCTTTTAGTCATGTTACAATGCTGTTACCCCATCAAAAATATACCTGGAGTTGTGCTTTGTTTCATTCACACATGTTTGAGTAATCCTTTATTATTTGGCTGTCATCTCCAAATCTCAAAATGCAGTCCCACCTTCGTGATGTCATGAAGAGGTAGTTTTCAAGTTAGCAGCTACCTTTTACCTTTTGTTGAGTAGAGATTGGAAATTCCAAGAAATTAAATGACTTGCGTGATTCTATTCTAGGTATATGGAGTTTAAAAACACATGAATAATTCTTCCTGTATAATAGCATTATTGATGAAAATGCTTTTTTTTTTTTTTTTTTTTTGCTATTTCATTATAAAAAGGTATTTTTGTATGGGTTGTAGAGTTAGTCAATTCATTGTTGCAGACCTAATTTACAGCTAAGTATATATTGGTATTTAGGGTGTCCAGAGTTCACATATATCCACATAATAGCCACCTGCCTGTCTCCATGGAAATGTTTTTGCTATGGAATGTTCCACTGCAAAGCATTACACTTATCTATCACCATGGAGACAAGCAGGTTGCAGATCTCTCAATAGAGAAGTGAGTTGTGCGTCTTTAAGAGCAACATAAGAAACGCTACTTCTATTGCTTTGAATGCTAATAGACTAAGCAGTGTTACTTCATTATCACCAATTAAAATCAGCCTCTGTTTTACCAGTTAGAGGCAAATGAGAGCAACAAGCAAAGCCTCTGCGGGCTTGGTTCTTATGTTTTCTTACAAACATTTTCTAGTCAAGGTGTGCATTTTACAACATTAAAAGACTCATTACCAGACTCATTTATTTTCAGTAAACTAGAACTATAAATACTTAATGTAGGGATATCACGCTGGTGGTGTTCTAGATGTACATCTCTAGTTGCCTGTAGCAACTACCATGCACACATTAGCAAACACTGTCAAAAAAGTTTTAATATAGTCTGAAAATAAAAAAAAATATATATAAAATGCACTTAAACAATACATTTTCAAGAGTCTGTGATCAATACGAGAGTTCATGGTTTGAGATTCAACAAAAAATGGTGAGAAAAACTGTTCACTAACACTGGCTAGTTTGTGACTGTAATTTAAAGTTTAAGAGACTTGTTTAACTTAAATTTAATTCCAACTAAGTCTGTTTTTTCTGGTCAGATTGTGGTAAAATAAATCTTAAGTCTAATTTGAGTAACAGAGTTTCAGACGGAACAGTGCTTTCAGTTAGCCTCACACTGCCAGGGAATCATCTTCAAAGTATCAACTGTATAATATTTGTCTTATTTTCTCTTTAAAAAAATGTTTGTATTTAGTACACTATCATTTCAATGACCTTCTTGTTTCCATGGAAAAGCTGGAATGTTCAATAGTGAGCGGGGTTGTCTCTCCACAGATCTGACTTGTAACATGGTTTGGTGTGGCATCAGCTTGTCTCTGGATAGAAAGATTGAAGTTTAATGCCACAGTGTGAAACATTCCAGACAAAGTAATAATATCTCCATGATGACCACTACAAGAGTTAACATAGTGCACCTTATTTTGCTTCATCTTGCCCTTGTGATTTGATTATCATATATTGTTTTGAATGGAAACAAGATGCTGGGATTTATTCTTGAAATTGTCTAATAAACCCTCATCTTGCAACACCAACTTTCTGACCCTTTGCTTCTCGTCCCTTTCAGGTCTTCAGTCCGATCTGGAGCCAGTGACTTTGGACATCAAGATAGAGGAGAACACGAAGAGCTCCGTGATGCTAACACCAGAATCTGAAGCTTCATCTGTGGACCTGGTCACTCTCTCTCCTCCTCAAATCTCTCCCTCGTATCAGATCTCAGAGACGGCGTCAGACACCAGCGCCCCCGAAGGCCAGGAGGGGGAGGATGCCATGGGGGATCCGAGCAGCCAGGGGGAGTCATCGAGCACAACTGAGGAGACGCAAACTGACGAGGAAAACAAGAAGAGCAAATCGCACCTTCACTGTCCAGTCTGTAAAGTCACTGTCAACTCCACCTCACAACTGGAAGCACACAACAGCGGTAAGGATCGTGATAAATTGTATTTGGTTTGGGTCTCATATTATGCTGTTCCAGGATGTAACATTGCATACACTGTCTTTATTTATACACAAATTAGAGATGGTCTACTGTGGATTTTTTTAAGCCAGTACCAGTGTTTAATATTATCCAGTAATGTTTTTTTTTTTTTCTTTTTAGTTCACTACCAACTAGGGATGGGCATGATTAGTTGATTAATTGATAATTGATCATTACGAATTTCATCAATTATGTTCATTTTAATCGACAAACCGAATGTAGGTTGCTGTGCATAGTGAAGGGTGACCAAATGTCTCTCTGCACTCAGAAGGAGCAAGCAGACACAAACAGCAATGTGCCGAAACGCAAATGCGTATCTAACGATGACTTGTAGAAGAAATTCCACGCTTTCCGTTGCGGTCAGGACAAATGGGAGGCCATGTGCACAGTGTACAAAGAAACACATATGTTTCGGTGTCCAGTAGGAAAAAACTCACCAGGACACCGAAAACATGAAAAAGCTTTGCCAGGTGAGAGTAGCGCAATGTTGATGACAAGTCCTCTCCTCCCACCCCCCGTACGGTGTCCTGGTTTTGACAAACACAAATATGGTCACACTAACCTGTATTCCACTGAGTCATGCCGCATCAGTGCACAAGAGCTGTTTTTTTCCTTTGTGTAGTTTATTCAAATTAGCCATGTGGTTTTAAGTTTTGTTTCTGTGAGACTTGCACAAAGCTGCATTATAATGTAAAACGGGCTGATGTGGCTCTAGATTGGTTACGGTTTATATGTCATAAAGTAGAATTTATTTATGCAGATTCGTAGTGCAGATAGTAATAATAATGATGATAATTTTAATATAAAAACGTTAATGATTAATCAATAATCAATCGTTAATTCTCCCGACGATCGATTTAGAAAATTTTATTTTCTAAAATGCCCATTTCTACTATCAACATTTTCAAATCTATCTGCACCAACTTTTACTTCTGACTGCTACTAAGCTGCGCTTCCATTGTGATTTACATTTTGATAATTTCGTTCATTTCAAAGGATAACTTGTAAAAAATAAAAATACAAAAAATAATAAAATGTGCAAAATGTCCATTGTGCACCAACAAGTGCATCTTTTCTCCAGATATCTTTTGAATGAATTGTTAATTGCTATGGTCCTAACCTTTTATCATTCTGGAACCTATGGAAAAGTAATAAGCTGAAACCTACAAATAGCAAGACACACACACACAGACACAAGTACACGCACACTTAAAGTTGCGTTCTGAGTGGTTTTGAACAAAGACTTCGACGCTTCTATATTTGACACGTTCGGAACTGTACAATCAGACTCTACTTTGCCCTGACCTCTTGTTTGTTGTTCTCAGGTACAAAGCACAAGCTGATGCTGGAGGGTCAGAGCGTGCTGCCCCGGAGGAGGGGGAAGGTGCTGTCTGCTCGTGCCGGCTGCAAGAGCAAGAGGCTGGGCACCAAGGGCAGTGTGGGCATCCCCAGCAAGAACTACCAGTGTGAAGTCTGTGAGATCTCTGTCAACTCCGAGACACAGCTGAGCCAGGTGAGAAAAACTACTGCAGTCTAGGGTTGTCAAAAGTATAAAAAATCTGCTCTGATTTGATTGATTCTAAAACTAGATACTCTTTTGAGCAGCTATTGATACTAAAAAAAAAAAATCACACTCACAAGACAGAAATGAACGTTTCCTGAATAGCTTTAGAATGATCTTGAGCTGTATCAGAACAAGTAAAAGAGCATTAACCTACCTGGACCACAGAGGGATTACACAGATCTAAGACCACGTTGTAATACAAAAGAAAAAAAGGAAAGAAAAAGAAAAGAACAAGTTTATTATTACAGAGGTATCAGAATCCGAACTGAGTATCAAGTGTATATATAAATTGATCTAAAGTTTGCTGAAGGATTTGGGGAAAATATCCAATTGTGATTTTTCTGGCAAGCATTCCAGTTTTGATTTGCAATTTATGTTAATATAATATTTATGTTAATAATAGGACCCTGTTCAAAGTTCACGTTTTAAATACGCCCTGGAGAATCGTCAAAAAGACTGAAATATGAACTGACAAACATTTGGAAGATTTCACCTCTGTAATTTACAATCCCTAATAAACAAAAGGTAAAAGGTAGCTGTTAACTTGAAAATTACCGCTTCATGACATCACAATGAGAAAACAGAGCATTTTGAACTTTGGAGATGTACACAGACTAATAAAAGGGCTGCTCAAACATGCGTGATTGAAACAAACCACAACTCTGGGTTTGTTTTTGATGAGGTAACATCATTACAACGTGGCTTAAAGCATACAAGAGGTAGTTTGTGTGATACAGGACCTTTAAAGAAACTACAATTATTTTTTTGTCTTCAAAATGACACTCAGTTTTGTTTGAACCTCTACACACGTTAGGAAATGCTTCTGGTATTCTGAAGTATTCGTATTTCAGTCTTCTCTCAAATATAATCACCCATGGACATGTTTAAAATGAGAAACATGAACTGAATGTTAATAGAGAAACACAAATCTCTAGCAAAATTCACCAGAAAAACACATCTTTTCCTAAAATGGTTCAGGCCTAATTTTCAAGATGATTAGTACATACTTATGCTACTGTGGTTGCAGCCATGAAAAGGCCAGACAATGAACCAAAATGTCCTACAAAAGCACTGAGGCGTAGTTAGTGAGTATCTCTGTGTCTATTCGCGGTGTTGTTTAAAAGGGCAGACAGGTCCTGGTCACTCTCTATGGAGCAGCTGCACTCTCCAATTCAACATGTCCTCTCCCCCAAGGCTTAGGGCAGGGACAATTTTGGAGCATTTTTCTCTGGTGTTACTGAAATTGACCTCTCGTAACACGGAAGCAGTGGGTAGTTTGGGTTTATTAAGTTCAGTGCAAATTTATTACAATTAAACCAGGTCAAAACATGAATCATATCTGCGTATAGATGTCCCCTGCAATTTCAAACTCCATTTCGCTCTCTCACTTCATTTTGTTGAGCAGTCTGAGAGACCAGCGGGAGAAAAAATAATGAAATTTCCCACAATGCACAAGTGCAGTGTAGAGCAATGGTCAAAGCTATGTTTGCAGTTTAAGTAATTAACATCAGATCCGTGTTAAACAAAATGTGTGTGATTAGTTACAGATAATTTATCAGATATTTGGCTTGCGGTTGTGGCCGATAACCAATATTTACTAATACAGATATTTAACTTTCAAAATCCACAGCTTGGTCTACACATGCATCTTAAGTTGAAGTAAAGATCACCAATGAACTTTCACTTTTGTAAAAATGATAATATTACTTTTAATTATTACAATTATTACATTTAATTTAATATTACTTTTATTTGGAATATAAAATAATTTGTTACATATTTGTGGAAAGATACAGCCATGTAATTATCTTTTCTCTATTTTAATTTTGCTCTGGATCTGCATTGAGGACTATGCACCGCAAAGTAATTCACCACCACAATGCTAGGAGGCTAGGATTGTATACAAAATGAAGCGGGAAAGCGAAGTACCGGAAATGTATGTAGAGCGTCTGTAGAGAGGTCCAATCACAGCCCTTATTGTCTGCGGCACGTTCCCTTGCTGTCTGCGTTTGTTCGACGTGTAGTTAGAAAAGTTTGAAGGTGCACATTGGTTGACACAGACGCTTTGTGGAGGGGGTCTAAGGCAACTCAGACTGTCTGCTTCATGACGCAGACGATTTGACGCACGACCATAAATTGGGCTTAACACCTAAACAGCACCATGATGCTTTTTAAATCACAGGCTCCTGAAAATGTGTTGTTTTAATCCATTTTGTATTATTTCTTGATTTTTCAGACAAACCTAAAACTTAATTGCCAGTGTTTGCTAATGTGTCCACTGTGTCTCCATGGTAACGCCAATAAACATACATGTAGAACACCCTCTGCGTTATGTCACTGCAAAGTATCGATATTTCACCTTGATATTAGCTTCCTGGGTTTGTGCAGACGCAGCATACTCACTGTGTATTATTGTTCCACTGTGGCTTTTCAAATGGTCTATATCAAATGTATAATTAATTGATTCTAATGGTCTTTGTTATTGCTACCTCCACCTTGATGAAGAAATCACTCTTCTTTTAAATCAAAGACACCATCTCTTCCTGCAATGTGAATGAGCCCATTGAAAACTGTGTGATAGTGTAGTGAATGCTCAAGCTGCAACCATTTCTCCACATTATAAAGATGTGATGAGCTTCTCAGAGAGCAGGCCTATTCACTCATCATTATGTCAAGCCATCATGGTTTTAATGTTGTAGTTACACTGCAGTTTTACCTTGTATGCAAAGTAGTTTTTGAACCCTCATAAAATTGTACACATATAAAATGGGAGTATATTTGAAAACTTGTGAAAGTAATAGGAAATAGTTAAAAGTGAATTGTGCAACTTTTCCGGTGGAGGCTCTGTCAGATAATTTTCTCCATGGAGATGTTATTGCTTTGTCTAGAATGTTTCACATTGTATTAAACCTATTTATCTTCATGGAGATCAAACCAGACAAAGTTACAGGTCAGATCTCTGAAGAGGCAACCTCACTCACTGTTTTTCTAGATATTTTTGAGCTATAAAATCGCCTGTAATTGAATAAATGTAAGGTAGAGCTGTTCAATGTCATATTGTGGAACATTCTAAGCAGAGCAACGACATATCCCATATGGAAAAAAACTGGAAAAAAATATAAGAATTTACCACTGTCTTTGTAGTAAATCTTATATATAAGGTTTATATGTGCCATGTATGGTTTACTCCTGAAAGTGGCCCCTTTTGCATTTTTCTCATACAACTATATTATGAAAAACTAGTAAAGATAAAGTGAACATTTTGCATGACATTTACAGGTAATGTGCATGATAAACTACATTTTCTCTGTATGTTCACTGTAATGTTTGTGTTGTTTAATTATATGTTGCAGAAAAAACAATCAGAGTGTGAAGGGAGATTTGAACCCAGATCTACCATGTGGAAGTTCAGAGACTTACCAATTGAGCAAACTAACTGCTGATTTGAAGGTTAACAATAGCATATATAGAGGACAATTAACTGATATGACCTTTTGTCAGTTGAGGCATGTGAAAAAACATAAGTGTATAGCTGCTTTTTGGAATATTACAAGTCAATATAGACCTTTGTAATAATTAGGATTTTGCAGAGTAAAAATATTTTTACAGCCTGTATGTTCACTGTGATATCAGTGGAATATGTTTTTTAAGGTTGTAATGCAATATTTGCATTACTGTGTTTACCCCCATGCTGACCACACACACACACACACACACGCACACACACACACTTTTAAGGATATTGTATGTGGGAATAGTGTCATATACAGGCTGTGCAGGTTACAAAGTTTTATATGTTTCATGCTGCACATATTTACCAAAGATCTTGGAAGTGTTTGTTTGTAAGTGTACAATTCTTTTAGGATTCATATGAAACATGTTAAAATGGTGTATGAGTTGTCTATACCTTTTCCCATATGGGATCCATAGAAACAAGAAGATGACAGACCCCCAACCTAAATGTTACACACTTTTATGAGGACATTGATACTTTGAAGGGACATCACGCTGGGGGTGTTCTACGTGTATGTGTATTAGCGGAATGTTCACCAGTTTCTATGGAGACACAACACACACATTAGCAAACACAGCGAAATACATTTAAAGATCATCTGAAAACAGCCTTGCAGCCTTTGCGATTTTCTAGCTGCGTCCATTCAAATTGCAATAGGGTTAAAAAAAGGTTATTCACATACTAAGATACTAGTTATTCTTTTGCACAAATAAAAAAAAAATCACATACACAGGACATTGGACCTTTCCAGAATAATTTAATAATGATATTAATCTATATCAGAGAGAGTATGGTAAATTTAACAGGCCCTTTTTATGCTATTTTCTGATCTATATCTTGGGCTGGCCCTGGATTAGTCCTAGTTTAGTACTTGTTTTAGTTCTGGTTTAGTCTTGGTTTGATCCTGGATTAGTCCTGGTTTGGTCCTGGTTTAGTCTTGGTTTAGCTGTGCTTTGATCTTGGATTAGTCCTGGTTTAGATCAGGTTTAGTCCTGGTTTAGTCCTGGTTTAGTCTTGGTTTAGTTTTGGTTTAGTCCTGGTTTAGTTCTGGTTTAGTCCTGGTTTAGTTCTGGTTTAGTCCTGGATAAGTACTGGTTTAGTTCTGGTTTAGATTGGGTTTAGTCCTGGTTTAGACCTGAATTAGTCCTAGTTTAGTCCTGGTTTAGTCCTGGTTTAGATCAGGTTTAGTCCTGGTTTTGTCTTGGTGTAGACCTGGTTTAGTCCTGGTTTGATCCTGTATTAGTCCTGGATTAGTCCTGGTTTAGTCCTGGTTAAGGGCTTGTTTAGTCCTGGTTTAGTCCAGGTTTAGTTCTTGTTTTAGTCCTGATTTAGTCCTGGTTTGGTCCTGGTTTAGTCTTGGTTTAGTCCTGGTTTAGTACTTGTTTTAGTTCTGGTTTAGTCTTGGTTTGATCCTGAATTAGTCCTGGTTTGGTCCTGGTTTAGTCTTGGTTTAGCTGTGCTTTGATCTTGGATTAGTCCTGGTTTAGATCAGGTTTAGTCCTGGTTTAGTCTTGGATTAGTCCTGGTTTAGTCCTGGCTTAGATCAGGTTTAGTCCTGGTTTAGTCTTGGTTTAGTTTTGGTTTAGTCCTGGTTTAGTTCTGGTTTAGTCCTGGTTAAGAACTGGTTTAGTCCTGGTTTAGATTGGGTTTAGTCCTGGTTTAGACCTGAATTAGTCCTAGTTTAGTCCTGGTTTTGTCTTGGTGTAGACCTGGTTTAGTCCTCGTTTGATCCTGTATTAGTCCTGGATTAGTCCTGGTTTAGTCCTGGTTAAGGGCTTGTTTAGTCCTGGTTTAGTCCAGGTTTAGTTCTTGTTTTAGTCCTGATTTAGTCCTTTTTTGGTACTGTATTAGTCCTGTATTAGTCCTGGTTTGGTCCTGGTTTAGTCTTGGTTTAGTTCTGGTTTAGTCCTGGTTTTATCCTGGTTTAGTCTTGGTTTAGATTGGGTTTAGTCCTAGTTTAGACCTGAATTAGCTCTGGTTTGATCCTGGTTTTGCTTTGGTTTAGTCCTGGTTTAATCTTGGTTTAATCTTGGTTTAATCCTGGTTTAGTGTGAACACAACACATAACTCTGTGCACTGGTCAGGACTGAGACTGACCCACTAACTTTTCCGTTAATAGGCAAGCAATGTAACCACTGAGCCACTGTCAGTCTGCATTTGACTCTTGTATTTGATGTATTTAAATAAACATTAGAAACCTCAGGGAAGCATAAACCTATTATTTAACCAGGCACTGTGGAAGATAGCAACAAAAGCCACTAATATAACATTATTGCTACGCTCTTCAGTCACCGCAATACCATTATTAATTCAGCAGATAAGATTTGAAGCGTTCCCAAGGCGACTCAACCAATCCTCACTATCTAATCTAATCACTTTTTTTTTTTGTTTTCATTCATTCTTTGCTCTACAGCACATGAACAGCAGAAGGCACAAGGATCGTCTGGCCGGAAAACCCCCAAAACCGAAGTTTACCCCTCACAGCAAGACCCAGGCTAGCTCCAGTTTAGCGGTAAGTCGGCTTAAAGACAAATAAACAACACATGAACGCAACGGGGAAGACAAATAAAACGTAATTGGCTTTTTCCCCGAGATGCTTGAACACACCGCGTCCCCAAATTGGAATATATTCGGCTCAGCTTGTAAGCTAATGCATTTTTAAACAGCAGTTTCTATTTATCTGCTGCTAAGTGATTTAACCCTCTGAGGTCCGGCTTGTTTGTCCTGTTTTTGAAATGACTACAAATTCGGGGGTTTAATTTCTGTCCCTTGAATTGTAAAATGGGTGTGTGTACACAGAATAAATATGTCCCTTTTGTTTTATTTATAGTCCTGCTTTAGTTCTGGTTCAGTCCTGTTTCAGTCCTGGGTCAGTCCTGTTTCAGTCCTGGTTCAGTCCTGGTTTAGTCTTGGTTTTTGGAATGACTGCAAATTCAGGTTTTAATTTCTGTTCCTAGAATTGTAAACTGGGTGTATGTAAGCAGATTAATTTTGTTCTTGGTCCGGGTTTTAGTCTAGGTTTGGTCCTGGTTTGATCCTGGTTTAATCTTGGTTTAGTCCTGAGTTAGTCTTGGTTTAATCCTGGTTTAGTCCTGATTTAGTGCTGGTTTAGTTGTGTTTTCTTTTTGGTTTAGTCCTGGTTTAGTCCTGATTTTGTCCTGGTTTAGTCATGTTTTTTCTTGGTTTAGTTTTGATTTTTGAAATGACTACAAATTTGGTTTTTAATTTCTGTCTCTTGAATTGTGAAATGGGTGCATAAGCAGAATAAATAGGAGTCGTATTTTTGTAAAAGAAAAAAAAAAAGCATGTTTACCATAAATTACCATACAGCCTGGAGGTCACTAAGAACATCGCTGAAGACATAATTAACATGCTCAGCTGAAAGACTTAACTTGAAATACAACCTTATACTTTGATTTGAAGGATCTTTTCTGTATATTTATTTCATCATAATAAAGGTACACTGTGTAGCTTTTCTGGTGAGGTGTCTGCCATCTGCTTGTCTCCATTGCTTTGCCTGGAATGTTCCACAGCATGGCATTAAACATATCTGTCTTGCATGTATTCAATAACAAGTGTTTTTATTGCTCAAAAATACCTTGAAAAACATGCCTAATGGTCTGGTGGATTCACTGGCTTGTCACCATGGCGATAGATGTTATATCATGTTATTATAGAACACCAGAAAAGTTACATAGTGTACCTTTTAAAGGGCTCGTATTACACTGTTTTCTGATCTATGTCGTAATTTTGTTTCCTCATCGCAAACAGACCTGGAGTTGTGTTTTGTCTCATTTACATTATGTTAAACACACAAATCCTGCACATTTAGAGTTCTCTCAAACAGAAAACACTCTGTTCCACCTTGTGATGTCATGTAAGTAAGTTTTTAATTTATATAGTGCTTTCCACAGACATTTGTCACAAAGACGTTTTACAGAACATTAATCAGTCACTCCATACCCTGTGGTGGTAAGCTACTGTTGTAGCCACCACTGCCCTGGGGCACGGCTGCCATACCAATCGGCGCCATCAGTCCCGCCGACCATCACTCACACACACACACACACACACACACCACTTTCATACTAGGCAATGTGGGTGAAGTGTCTTGCCCAAGGACACAACAACAGTTTTTTTGAGACTGGCACCCCACTGTGGCACCTGATTTTCCCAGCGGTCTCCCATCCAAGTACTAACCAGGCCCGGTCCTGCTTAGCTTCTGAGGTCTGACAGGATCAGGCTTTGATAAGCTGGTATGGCCACATGTGGTAATACAGGAAATGCTCCACTGTGTTTTTAAACTCCATACACCTTCACTAAAATCATTTGGATCATTTCAGACCTGTAATGGACAAGCTCTATTGTACCAAAGGTAAAAGGTCAGCTTCATGACATCACAAGGTGAACAGAGCTTTTTGAGCTTCGGAGATTTAGGCAGACTAATAATAAAGAATTACTCAAACATGAATGAAACAAAACACAACTCCAGGTAACAACATTATAATACAGACCTTTAGGTCTTTGTCATTTTCCATTTGTAAATTTTTCAACTGTGCACACGCAAAACAGCCAAATTATATTATGATTATTACATTTTATGAGCAAAGTGACCAGTTGCTCTCATCCTAAAGTCCTCCATTGTGTTTTCAATTTCCCGAGTCAAACCTCTTCTTAAGCTCTAGTGGGTGTTGTTATGGCAGCGTGCTTGTCCGACTGTCACAAAGGTTAACAGTCCCCGGGCCCTGCGCTCGGAGACAGGTCTAAAACTGGGCTCCTCTGACAGGGGCTGAATCAGCACTCACCACTAATCTCTTCTTTGCACCTGTCATAACTCTCTCCCACTTTGTCCTCTTCTCTGTCTCTCTCTCTCACTCTCTCCTCTCACTTCCCTCACCGCAACTGTCCATCTCTACCCATCTCTCTCCCTCACTACCTCCCTGTCTCTTTTGCTCTCCCTCTCTCTCTCTTTTACTCTCTCCCCCTTTCTCTTTTTCCCCATCTATCATTCTATGTCTCCTCTCTCTCCTTCACTATCTCCCTATCTCTTTTGCTCTCCCTCTCTCTATCTTTTACCCTCTCCCCCTCTATCATTCTACCTCGCCTCTCTCTTTCTCCCATTCTCCCTCTTTCTCTCTTTTGCTCTCTGACCCTTTCCCTTTCTCCCCCTCTCTTTTACTCTTCCTCTATCATTCTATCTCTCTGCTTTTCCTCACTACCTCCCCTCTCTCTTTTATTCTCCCCTCTACTCTTTCTCCCCCTCTATCATTCTATCTCTCCTCTCTCTTCCTCCCTACCTCCCCATCTCTTTTACTCTCCCTCTCTCTCTTTTACTCTTTCTCCCTCTCTCTTTTACTCTCCATCTATCATTCTATCTCTCCTCTCTCTTCCTCACTACCTCCCCTCTCTCTCTCTCTCTCTCTTTTACTCTTTCTCCCCCTCTATATTCTATCTCTCCTCTCTCTTCCTCTCTACCTCCCCACTTTCTTTTACTCTCCCTCCCCTCTATCTCCTCTATGTGTCTCTTCACTGTTTCTCTCGCTCATTTCAACTCCTCTCTTCCCCTCTCTCCCCTTCTTTACCTGTTTCTCTCCCTCTCTCCCACACTCGCTCCCTCTCTCCTTTGCCTGTGTCCCTGCAGCAGAGCGTGAGGTGGAGTGGCTATGCAGGCGTGGCTGTGTCCGCCATGAAGAAAGCCTACAGCCAGTTCAGCCTCAACTCCCTCTCCCCACAGGTCAGTGTCTGTGGACGGAGAAAAAGCTGCAGAACATACACGTCTACTGAGTTAAAATGACTGAAAATGCCAAAAAAAATAAATAAATAAAAATTATACTGACAGTTATTATTAAGAAGTAGTAAATAATTTGTCTTCTTTCATTACATTTAATTTAGTTTCAGACTGAATGATTTTAGGATGAGTTGAGAAAGAGAGAAAGTGCAATTTCCCATTTGCGAACTTATTTATTTATTTATCATTATGTTTTTAAATAAGGAAATTCAACTAAACCAATTAAATCAAGATTATTATTCAAAATCTGTTGTCATTTTAACTAATCTCGAAATGATTTTGCGGTAAGAGAGAAAGGGATGAAGAAAGAGAGAGAGATGGAGGGATTTAAACTAACTGAATGATGGTTTTGACTTTCACACTTGTTTGTTGTTTTGTATTTGCATATTGCATGATAATTAACTTTTAATTTTACATTACTGGTCCTCTCCTCTACTCCTCTCCTGTCTCCTATGTCCTCTCTCCTTCTCTCCTCTCGCCTTCTCTCACTCTTCCTCTCCTCTCCCTTCTCCACTCTCCCCTCTCTCCTCCTCTCATCATTTCTTTGCCTCCTCTCAACCCTCTCTTCTTGCTCCTTCTCTCTTCTCTCCCCTCTCCTCCTCTGTCACTCCTTCTCTCCTTTCCACCTCTCTCTCCTCCCTCTCTTCCTCTCCTCCTCTCTCACTCCTCCTCTCCCCACTCCCTCTCCCTTTCTCTCTCCTCTCTCTTCTCCTTCTTTCTTCCCTCTCCTCCTCTCACCCTTCCTCTCCTCTCCCTTCTACACTCTCCCCTCTCTCCTCCTCTCATCATTTTCATGCCTCCTGTCAACCCTCTCCTCCACTCTTACTCCTTCTCTCCTCTCTCCCCTCTCCTCCCCCTCTTCATCTCCTCCTCTCTCACTCCTCCTCTCCCCTGTCCCTCTCCCTTTCTCTCTCCTCTCTCCCCTCTCTCCCCTCTTCTCCTCTCCTTCTCTCTCTTCTCCTTCTTTTTTCCCTCTCCTCATCTCACTCTCCCCTCTCTCCTCCTCTCATCATTTCCTCATCTCCTCTCATCCCTTTCCTCCACTGTCAATCCTCTCTACTCCTCCCTCACGCCTCCTCTCCCTTTTACCTCTCTCTTCTCCCCCTCTTGCTCTCTCTCCTCTCTCTCTCTCTTCTCCTTCTCTCTACCCTCTCCCTGATCCCGCTTCTCATCCCTCCCCTCTCCTCCTCTCTTCTCCTCTTCTCTCCTCTCGTCTCTCCCCTCTCCTCTTCACTCACTTCTGCCTCACTCCTCCTCTCCCATCTCTCTCTCTCTCCTCCAGACCAAACTGGCGTTGCAGAAGCAGCTGACCAAGAGCCTGAGCACGTCCGGTTTCCTGCCCAGCCCGCTGTCCCCGCCCCCAACTCTGTGCACCGTGGCGACCGCCAACCCCCTGGCCTTGCGTCACTCGGTGGGCGCCGCGGCAACCACCAACCACCTGGCCCTGCGTCAGCCAATGGGCACCGCCGCCTTCATCCAGACGCCCTTCCTGAGCCCCGCCCTCTTCAGACCCGCCCCCGGACCTCTGCGTGCCACCCACACGCCAATCATCTTCTCCCCGTATTAAAGAGACTGGTATATGCTCCACATGTTTCCACTATAAGGGTATGGCATGGGTTGGGTTAGTTTGGGGCAGATGGGACAGGATATGCCTAAAAAATCTGAATCTAAATTTTAATTTGAGCAGTTTTGATTAATTTATGTTCATTTAAAATTACCTGGCCTTGTGGTTTAATAAACTGGTTTCAATTTACTTTTTTCTTTCCTAATAAAGGAAATAGATGTACCATTAAATTTTATTAAATGTGAATAAACCAAGTAGCAATCGTTACATCAAAATCAATATTGGATTTCAACGTTTTAAATTCATATCTGAAAATACGTAATGTTTAAAGAATATTGAATACAAATTAGCCAATGGACAATTTTGCATGTTGTGTTTTGCTTAGAAAACATTTTGAAACCAGTTTTTTAAAAAGTTTATAATTAAGGTTGAACAGTAATGTGTCAGAATTATCTAAAAAACAACATTAATATTCAAAATTAAAGTAATTTTAACGGTGCGGTGTGCAACTTTTCTGGTAGAGGATTTGCAAACTGACTTCGCCATAATAGGTTTGCCTGGAATATAAAGGGTGACGAAACTGTACAAAAAACATACATTCTACTATGAGTGTTGCCTCTTCCCGGATCTGACTTGTAACATCGTGGAAATAGATGTTTAATACTTTCAACTTCCTTGGCAAAGCAACAACATCTCCATGGCAATAAGCAGGTGGCAGATCCTCCTCCAGAAAAGTTACATAATGCACTTTTACATGATCTATATACAGTGTTGGGAAGGTTACTTTTAAAATGTATTCCCCTACAGATTACAGACTACATACCCCAAAATGTAGTTTGTAACGAAATCCATTAAGGTACTTAAAGTGAGTAACATAATCTGAATACTTTGGATTACTTGATTTGCTGTAGAGAAGCAAAGACTAGGATATTTTCACATAAGTTTTGTCTGCTTAAAGACAATAAAAAGCCCAGACTTTCCTTAACCGTATTAAAAATATTATTGATAGAAGAGGAGGAGACACGGTCCGCGCGGTATTGTTTAGTCCAGTTAAATCCTGTTTTAGACCCGCTAAAACTTTGGAGTCCGGGACAACAGACCCCAACCCATGCTGTACCAGACCGGTGAAAACGCCCCCTTCCTTTTTAGTGTAACCTTTAAACTATGCAGCCCCTTGACTTTGGAAACACAGAGACAGGACAAGTCTCAGAACTCCAGAGAAGACCCCATCAAAATAAGGCCAAGAGTCCCATCATGCCTTGCTTCCTGCTCCTCCGTCGTGACCCTATATGGGAGCAGGCCCGGCCTCCAGACAGTGACTGGGACAAAAGAGGCCAGATTAATAGCCATTTCATGTTGGGGTTCCTGATATTAATGTGTAATTTATTAGAAAAGCAAAGATAGAAAACTCTAGATGTATGTTTAGTGTGGTTGCCGCCAAAAAATAAGGTCCCTTTACTTGATGCTGTATTCATATTTTTAAATTATTGTAAGAGGTGATAAGAACGGTGCTTAAAATAAATCATATAGAAGACAACTGGAAATTACACAACTCAATTAGGATTAGTAATGTGTCAATAGGTAAAAGGTCATCAAGGTCACATGGACTGAAATTGTGCAATGTTTTCAGATTTTCAGATTTTTCCTTTCAAAAAAACAGATTTCCTTTTTTTTTTAAATATTCTGAATTATATAAGCTATTTTATCGGCTGTAGTTTTAAATGCATTTATTTTGCATAGCTTTATGACATTGTTTTTATAGCAAATATCTTATAGCTTAAATTTGTATGAAAACACACGTTAAGATCATTTATCATACAAACAAAACAGATGTTAAATCAGTGTAATATACCAACATTCATTTAATACAGACAAAAGTGCACAGTTAAAACTACTATATTTTTATGTTTTTCTTTTTGATAACATTTTATAATAAGTACTTTTCATTTAGATTTAATAAAACGTGAAGACAACCTTAATTCATAATGAACAATTACTCCTGACTGACCTTAACCCATTAACTAAGTAAGTTAAAGGAAACCTATTAAACCATTTTCTGATCTATGTTACAATATTGTTTCCTCATCACAAACATACTCGTGGTTGTGTTTTGTTTCATTCAGACATGTTTAACACACAAACCCTGCATATTTTGGCTGAGTACTTTTATCAGAACAGAAAACATTCCGTTCCACTTTATGATGTCATGTAGTAATACAGGAACACATTCATTTTCCAATGTGTTTTTAATCTCCATACATCTTCACCAGAATCATATGCATCATTTTATCCTTGGAATTGCCTATTGAAGTCTCTACAGAAGAAAACATAAAAGGTAGCTGTTAACTTGAAACCTACCGCTTCATGACATCACAAGGTGCAACTGCATTTTGAGCTTTGGAGATGTAGATAGACTAATAATAAAGGCTTATTCAAACGTGTGTGAATGAAACAAAACACAACTCCAGGCATGTTTTTGATGAGATAACAGCATTATAACATGCTTAAACACACATGAGATCATTTTGCGTAATATGGCCTTTAATAAACTATTGTTTCATTATGAATTAAGTCTTTGTTGATGCTTTATTAAGTCTGTGTTTTGTTTGTTTGTTCCACACATTACACATTTTGACAAAGAGACAGACCAGACATTATAGAGATGAAACTGAAACTGGTATTTAGTATGAACTGTATTATGTGAGTACTTTTCAGTACTATGGTATTTTTACCCTTATAAGCCATTTCAAAACAAACTCCATGGACACAGTGTTATGCCTGGCTCATGGACACAACAAAATGAAATGAGACTGGGTTTAGATGCATTTACAAAATGGGTACATTAATATTCAAAATGTATTAACAAAAATAAAGTATGAGGTTGTGAGTAGTTTCCAGGTTGTGCTCAGTGTTTCAGATTAAACTAAATGGTCAGAATAAACATATTTTATTTTCACAAAAGCGGTACGTTAATTTCACCTGCATCACCTGCTTGTTTCTGTGGATATGTGATTGTACTGCCTGGAAGGTTCCACAGTCTTGACATTAACTAGCTCTACCTTACATTTACATATTACAGATGTTTTTATAGCTCAAAAATCACCAGAAAAACAGGCATTGTGACTGTGAGCGGGGTGGCCTTTCCACAGATCTGACCTGTAACTTGGTCTGGTTTGGTCTCCATGCAGATAGAACATTTTAATACATTCCAGACAAAGCAATAACATCTCCACAGGGAAAAGCAGATGGCAGACCCGTTCCAGAAAAGTTACACAATGCATCTTTAACACAACATACATTTGATCTGTACTTTGACTTATCAGTTCAAGCTAAAAAATCTGTATTGGATCATCCCTAATACTTATAAACCAGAAAGTACCAGAAAGCCCAATTTATTCACATTCACATATTTGTAGCAGTAGTTTTCATAGGACATCTTTGAGGCTCTAACAATCGAACATCTTTTCCATTTTTCTCTCTGACTCAGCTCCACTCAGACCCCTCAGATTTTCCTCTCCAGGACAAGGCTTTAATTAAAGGCCCCCAAAGGTCAACTTGTCATCTCGACTTTGTTTCAATTTGCAAATGTGACTCTTGAATCATTTCTTCTTGTGCCAGTGAAATGTACTTCTTGAGCAAGATGTGAGTCGGCTTGTAAGCAGCAAAGCAATAGTTGGGAAATTGGTTTGCAAATGTCATATACAAGTATACAGTAGGTTGTGTTAGAGAATAATATTGCTGGTATTTGCTGTTTAAAAGGTCCTATATTACACAGAATTGACTCTTGTGAGCTTTGAGCCATGTTAGAATGTTGTTACCTGCTCAAAATGCATTTCTGGAGTTGTGTTTTGTTTCATTCACACATGTTTAAGTAATCCTGGTTTATAGTTTGTCTACATCTCCAAAACTTAAAATGCTTTGTTCCACCTTGTGATGTCATGTAGTGGTAGTTAACAACTACCTTTTACCTTTAGTTTACTAGAGGGTGGTAATTCCAGGGCTAAAATCATCCAAACGATATAGTGAAGGTGTACAGAGTTTGTTTTCTGTTTGAGAGAAGAACTCCTAAGCTTAACTATGCAGGATTTGTGTGTAAAACCTGCGTGAATGAAACAAAACACAGCTCCAGGTATGTTTATTATAACATAGATCAAAAAATAGCGTAATATGGACCCTTTAACAGTCAGATTGTAAATTTATTGACATTGTTTATGGTTGATATCTTCTGTAATTACTGGACCTATTCACATGAAACAACAACTGGCACTGATTCAACACTAGTAAAATAAACATCAGTGAAATTATGTGTTCACAATAGCTTCAGAAAGCCATTACTCGACTCCTCCAAAGACGTGAATGTTAATGTTGTAGTCAGTTATAATGGACTTAAAGCTATAAAATTATTATGGCAATTTTGTGGACCCAGAATGATCCAAAATGATAAGGTTTAACATTTGTGGATCATAAGTTTGGATATTTAATATTAAGTAAATCTCCCATATTAATATAGACCCCTGCTAAAATTTAACATCATCATATCTAGAACATGAACACAACATATATTAAAAGTATAAAACCAGTGACCTAAAAAAAATTATATATACATAAACAGAACACATTTTATGTCTTTCCAAAAGATAGCAAACTTATAATAGCTCTTTTCTTCATCTGAAGTCTGTAACACGTCTCAAAGAAGTTGAAGATTGGCCAATGAAATAATTGAAAGTGTTGATAATTTGGTTATTATAGCTGCCAAGTATTTACTCCAAGAATTTATTTGTACCCACTGTTTTTATTTTTAATTTATTAGACTGGCACAATGTTGAATATGGAGTTTTATCTCTTTTTAAATTTATTTTATTTAAATTTTTTTATGTTAAAGGTGCACTGCGTAACTTTCTGGTTGGAGGGTCCGCCACCATGGAGGCGTTTTTGCTTTGCCTGAAAATGTTCACAGTACGATATTGAACATCTGTTTCCATGGAGACAAGCACCAAGCTAATTTACAGGTCTGAT